GAGGCCAAAATGGAGGGGATATCCCACGCTACCCTGAGAGTCCAACTCTACAGGGCTGCCACTTAATTTGGGGACTCCAAAACTGAAAACACGGCAACCCTGTCAATGTATCTGGTCCCTATCTTTGAATGGAGAGTTTGTCTTGATGTAGAGGTGAACTCTCAGGATAGCGTGGGATATCCCCTCCATTTTGGCCTCAACTTGAGAGCTTTTTTTGAGATTGGGAGTTGATTTTAGAGAAAACCAGTTGCACCATCGTGTTTCTCGCGAACTTTTACAGAAGAATCACTAGTCAAATCGCAAATTCCTCACACATGCAACATCTCCATCGATTGATTAGGCGTTCGTTGCGAACACTCTGTTTATCGATCCTTTTCTAAAGATTTAAATGCCAGATCAATTGATACATTGCAATTTGAAAACTTTAAAAGCTCATAACTCCGTTTTGACAAAATTTTAAGGTTTTAAAAATGGTCTCATTGGATATTTCGTAACATTTTCCATAAGAGCCACCCTTCAAAATAGGGAATTTAACGAAATCAACATCTAAATATGCGGTTTTAGTGAAAAAACTTCATGTCCGACCTATCTCATTAATTCGGTCCATTGTGCACCACTGGCCGGAAACGGTTCGAATGCTCCTATTCCAGCCTCTCATGGATATTGACTCTTTATGAATTTTTAAAAGCGATTGACCGCGTCACAAATGACGGCCAAAACGACGAGCCCCCACCTTATTGATGATGCAATTTTAGTCCTCATTGATACAGCCGACGTGCGATTTTCTCGTACATAGAGAGAGCGTCGCATCAGCCTATAGAAATTGCCAAATTTCCTTCGATAAAATACGAATGATCAAAGATGCTTTGACTCATTTAATCGAATTCAGTCGAACTGCATTTTGCAAGTTTCCTAATTTATTTTCGTTTTTCATTTTTTAATTGAGAATTAAACTAACTCAGGTATTTAAGCTTTTAATGAATGCAATAGCGTGGCGTGTTTAGTGTTAAATCGATTGAGCTCGCATTTAAACCCATGGAATAGAATCGATGAACAGGGGGTTCGCAAAGAACACCTTAATAATCGATTCTTTACCATACCTAAAAATGGGGCGGATATAATTGATAATTGATCATTACCGCAATAAACTGGATATTGTTTATCGATTACGTCATATTTGGATTTTCTCGCTAGTCTTAAGCTGGAAACACGCTGATGATTCATATTTTGTGTCCGAAAATTGCTGAGAATATCCGAAAATGAATGAAAACATAATAATACATAAACGCTTAAGGCTCGTTGAAAGTACGAGATTCGCCGAAATAATGCTACGATGTGTCTTCATTTCCGTTAAATTTTCATTTCATTATGAAGGCAATTTGGCAACTTCACATTTAGGGTAAAGACCAAGCGTGTAAAGATGTAATGTCACGTGATTTGCAAGAGGGTGGGAAATTGAAAAGGAAGCTCGTAATGAGTGAAGGCGGGACGGAAAGGCAGTCACCACAAGAATTCCGCGCCTGCTTACTAGGTCATCGTTGCCAAGTTCTCTAAAATATCGAAAATTTAAATTCTCAAAAGATCTAGCGGTTGGGGCTTTCAAACAAGGCGCGACAACCATGCTCAGCTGTTATCAATATCTTGTTTAAAACGTCAAAGCGCCGTCAACGTTCTTTCAGTCGTCGCACCTCTGACGTAAGGACGTATCTCCATTTGTGCACAGGCCCCAGAGAGCATGGATTTATAAGTAAAACAGGGCTCACGTTGAAATTGAGATACACCTCCGCGTCAGAGGAGTGACGCAGTTTCCAGCGTTCATCTTCAACGCAAATCCTATTACCGCTACCTTTGATGACTTTCAAAAATTAGGGGAAAGTTATCTTAATGTTTTGAACGTTATGCTTTTATGTTTTCCCACATAAAGAGGTTATTAGGGCTTTCATTAATGTACTAGTTTAGTTGGCTGTTCAAGTTACATTGCTCTTAAAATAAGCAAATTTACCAATGGATATTAGGGTAATCATTTCGACGTTTCATGTTTTTCACAGTCGACGTTCCCTTGTCAATATTTCTATGAAGCACGAAAAACACATGAAAAGTTTCAGAGTCCAACTATTAAGCAAAAAATTGTCGCTCCTTCACTGGAAAAAAAAACACATTGGATCTAGAATCCAGACTCTTGAAAACATTGACAAGAAGAAGGATTCTTGATTCAATCAGATTTAAGCTTAAATCAAAAGGAAATCCGCTCAAATTAAGAGGCTTGGTTCTTGATTTAAGCTTAAATCTGATTGAATCAAGAGTATTTTTTCTTGTCGATATTTTTAAGAGCCTGGACTCTAGATCCAATGTGTTTTTTATTCCAGTGTTGTTGTATAGTTCTATAGTTCTATAGTTCATCCCCAAACGCACCTATCTGCGCAAGAAAACTGGAGGCGCTTAAGTTATCTCTAAAAGCAGACAGAAGTAGAAGTTGATTTTTGCTTAGCGTAGTTCAATTGGCCCGCGTTTAGCGGAAAGGCACCAAGCCATATCAGCACACCAGGACAGTTTTGTTCACAAGAAAACGTTTGTGCCGATTCCTTTGAAATTTTCAAGGAATTTACCACGTACTGTGCAGAGAATTTACTGAAACTTGCACAAAAATCCGCACAGCCGACTTTGTGTAAAAAATTAAATTGCCCAACTAAATTTGGCAATAGCTGATGCGGGTTGGTTCCTTTCTGCTCAAAGCGGTCCAACTTATTAGAGTCCCTTTATACTGAGAGTCAAGACAATGTGAATCCATTTCTGATTGGTTCCCGTATTTTAGGTCTTCGCAGTGTCACAAACGGGAATAAAGATTACATTTTCATCGATTGCAAAGATTTTAATCTGGAATGGACCAGGGAATTACGGGTTCGGCAAGGAACAAACGGAATGAGAGAAGGAACGGAGAAAGGAATTTGAGAATGGGCCGATCAAAGATCACGAAAAACGTTCAATTTGTGTAATCTTTATTCCCGTTTGTGACTCTATGACAGAGACAAGAGACCCTCCACTAGTATCTTGGCCATTGTGGAAGCTTTTACTTTCGGGACTTCAGCATTCTACTGTAGACTCACCTACATGGTTGATGTTCAACAACGTGTTGGCAGTTCCATTGTGCAAACAAGCCGAAAATGGTCGACGTTTGGGAAACTTGTTTGTCTCATGACGTCATCCGAAGCTCATCATCGACCATGTAGGTCAGTCAACAGCCGAAACTAGGGTGATGACTGTTGCTCCCTAGTAAGTGTCCATAAGGAATTGTTGAAACCCCGAAAGTAAAAGCTTTCACCTGTCGCCAAGAGGCCGCAGTGGAGGGTCTCTTGTCTCTGCTCCATGAGGGAGTGTTGTCTTGACTCTCAGTATAAAGGGACTCTAGATCCGACTATGAATACGCAAGTGACCCATTTTGCGTTGGGTCCGAGATCCCCGATAAATCACGACAAGTCTCGATGGAGGGAACGCGAGTCTGCATACAGAGTGATCCGCTCTCTCCCCGCCCGCGAGAAATCGTAGAAGTGAATTCGTTGATAGTAAACCTTAATCCAGGCCGTAATTGGCTTATCCCTATCTCGGTCACATCGTTGCCGGGTCCCTTCCGTCGCGGCGTCGTTCCCCGCCGCGGACCGGAACGCTTTGGCGGAACTTTTCGTCGCTGCTGCCTCTCAGTTTCCGCCTCCCCTCCTTCCGTTATTATTTTCGATTCCTCTCAACGGCTCTTCGCGATGAATTTGCATGGGTGTCCTCTCAGTTTGCGTTAAGGTGTTTCGCGGAGTCGTGGGCCCTGCTCCAGCCGAAGTTCAAGGTTCGGTGTTTTGAGTGTCGGTCCGTGGTTCATTCTAGTGTAAGTTGTCGTTTCCGGACGATTACGTGCGTTCCGGGTTGCATACCCAGGAATTATGAGGGGCACTTTTTTGCGTTGCGGCTTGCATATTCAAAAATTTGAAAGACTGTCCGTGCATCTTGGGTCACATTAAGAAAAAATCAAAGGATCGTTTTTGGCGTTGCGAGCTGTAAACCTAGGGATTGCAATGGACGATTGCGGTTTGCATTTCCGAACGATTTAAGTGCGTTCCGAGTTGCATACCCAGGAATTGTGAGGGGCACTTTTTTGCGTTGCGGCTTGCATATTAAAAAATTTGAAAGACTCTGTCTGTGCATCTTGGGTCACATTCGAAAAAAATTAAAGGGTCGTTTTTGGCGTTGCGAGCTGTAAACCTAGGGATCGCAATGGACGATTGCGGTTTGCATTTCCGGACGATTTAAGTGCGTTCCGGGTTGCATACTCGAGAACTTAGAGGGTCAATTTTGTGCATTTCGGGTTACATACCCAGGAGCTTTAAGGATCATTTTCTTTTGCATTGCGGGTTGCATATTCAAAAATTTGAAGGACTGTGTACGTGCGTGATGGGTCACATTCTAAAGAAATTAAAGGGTCGTTTTGGCGTTGCGAGCAGTAAACTTAGGAATTGGTTTTTGATCCTGTATCTGGATGTATATCGAAAGCATTCATGACTAACGTAATAATCGTGTTTCGCTGCATATCGAGAGTTACTTTTGAGCCCAAAATATTTGTTAAATGCAGTACAGCTGGCGTTATCTAGTTCTACAGGACTCATGTCTTCAATGTTTGCAATGCATTGATTTTTCTTTGCAAGGGGGGAATTTAATTTAAATTTTATTTTTTAGGATTTAATTTAAGTGTAAGAAAACATATCAGTCGGCAAGGGAAAATTCCAACCCCAAATTCCGAACACGGCCGGTGCATTTTTGGCAAACTGATGTCAGTACCGAGGAAGATAATGATATATTCTGTTCGATAGATGCGGTTCTTTGATATTTAAATGCAAAAACGAAGTTTTATCGCAGTTCGTCTAGATTAAGCTCTCAAATTGATTAGTTTGAAGTGACATTTATGGTTTGAAAAATGGCCCAAAAGTAATAGCATTTTTTTTTTGTGTGTGTGATTGCAGAAAGATCTGTTTGCAACGAAATTCGAGAACAATGAGGGGAACACGCGTAAAATGTCTTCTGCTTCCACTGGAAGTATGAAGTCAAAATGGATCAAAGCCTTTAAAATACTGAAAGCTCCAAGCGGGCCTTCCAACGGTTCGTCAAACAAAGAGTCTGAAAGGTAAGCTAAATACACTTTCATCCAAACTAATTAAATTTTTTCCCTTTTATGATATCATTTCTGCGATTTATTGCCTTAAATTTAAAAAGGAAATATTCTTGAACTAAGAGCTTTCCTGAGCTGATTTTAAAATTAGCGATAAGATTCAGTTGCATATAAGTCCTGAACCCCTTTCCTCTCTCGATTAAAACCAGTGAACTGGTTTACGCAAAGGAAGAAAAAATTATATGTATATGAGGCTCCTATTTAAAGAGACTTTTCTTGCGTTATAGTGTTCAATTGGAACGATAATGACGGTCAAAGTAGGTTGCGGTTTATTTCGATCAAGTTGGAAATTAGGACGCTCAAAGTGCCAATCGCTTCGATTTGTAAAACAAAAAACAAATCCCTTGAATTTGAGACTATTCAAAGCATTTTTTGATAGCTCAATGACGGAAAAATTACATTGGAGGGACGAGCCGATCAGCGTAAAGTCGTTTTTCGGATATAAATTGCGTGTGTGTTATCTTACATCTCTTGGAGGAATGATTATAATTGTTGTTTTAGCCTGTGATAACTATGTTGATCCTATAGAGTGTTATCAAAATCACTCGAAGATGGCATAAAATATGCACTAATTCCATTCCATGCTCGATTGAATTTGCCAACAATGTAAATTGATTCCTATAATCCGCGGATTGCTTTCGTTTTGGAAAAAATATCAAGAACTAAGAGGCTTGGAGGAGAAGGCGCATAAGTGCAGTTTTTGTTATTTCAAGAGATACATTTGTTCCAGGTTTCAAAATTACATGAAGCCTGAAGACAGAGAGGTGGTTCAAACTGACTTTTTCATGCTTAAAAATTGGAATGCGAAGCGAATTTTTCACAGAATATTCATTAAGATTAGTTTTACTTGAAGTTATTAATATTTCAATTTTTTCAAAAACTGCACTTGTGCGCTTTGTCTTCTAAGCCCCTTAATTTATCTCCTGGAGGGATCATCATCAATGGCATTGTTGAAACAGTTACAATTGGATCGAGTTTAACAGAAAGGAACCGAGCCACATCAGCGATTGCCAAATTTAAGTGGGCAATACAATTTTTTACGAGAGAACTTTGTGCGGGCTCCGTTGAAATTTGCAAAAAGATTGCAAACAGGGTTAACACAAGGTAATAAATTAATGAATAAGCGCGGAACGTGCACTGGCGCCTCCAAACCTAAGGGGATACTTCACGCATTGCTCAATGCTTGAAGTATCCCCTTAGGTTTGTAGGCGCTAATGCGCCACGACCCGTCTCAGTGAAACTCCATTTATTTCAAAATTCTGCAATTTAGGCACACTTGAACCAGACTACATTGTGCAGAAAGGAAACAATCCACATGAGCGATTGCAAAATTTAACTGGGCAGTTTAATTATTCACAAGATAACGTTTGTTCGGATCCCTTTGAAATTTTTAAGGAATTTGCTCCAAACTATGGAGAATTTTCACTGCAATGTGCACGAGAATCCGCAGAACCGTTTTCATGTAAAAAATTAAATTGCCCGATTAAATTTGGCAATAGCTGACGTGGCTTGGTTCCTTTCTGTTTAATGCGGTCCAATTATCTCTGATTGATAGTATATGATCCTGTCCATGGAATTGTATTTGAAAGAATCGATACTTATGTTGGTTCTCACATATTTCCAACTCTTTATAATGAACCAAAATGGAGGAGGATTAGTGTCACCAATCAGCGAGAATTGCCTCATCATTAAAGGGGGGGGGGGAGATGTTCAAAATGTGCATGAAATATATTCATACCAATGGCTGTTGTAATCCTTGACAGCATGTAACTTATAAATACTAATCAACCGGTCAACTGCTTCTCCTCTTCGTTGTTCCTTTAAATGTTGTTCCCGGCGAAATTTTACCAATTGTTAGAGCTAACTGCAGAACGAATGTATTGGTGTCTTTGTTTGAATACTTAAGCTTGAAGCATTTCTGATTTTGGTTGGGTGGAAGAAATGCCCATATCGAATACGCGTAAAACGTCCACTCACTTCTTTACCATAGTGAGACGGAAAATATTCCGAGTTTTCCTCTTCTACTCTCCACAGCTCATTTGTGGCCACGTTTTTCCTGTTCTCCATGCATTTTTTGTTTGGTCATAGCTACATTTGTATGAGCGTTTGGAATCGCAAACCTGCAATTATGTGTTATTTTTGTATAAATATTGTTATGAACAGGAGAAAAATAAGGATGTAAAACGGGAAACAAGGCTAAAATACACAATTTTAAAAAAAACCAAGACGTTTCAACTCAAAACTGAGTCATTTCCAGTCGGAAATGTTACAATAAAATTTTTTAAAAAAACGATGAAAAACATGGTGGTGGCCGGAATATGAGAAAAATGATAACAAGGCACCCCGACTGAAAATGACTCAGTTTTGAGTCGAAACGTTTCGAGTTTTTTTTTTTTTTTTTTTTTTTTTTTTTTTTTTTTTAATAGTGTACTTCTGCCTTGTTCCCCTCCCCCCCTTGTTTTTCTACTGTTAACATTGTCTCGGGCTACTCTATCAAAATTTGTATATATTGTTATGAATTAGTAGATCTAAGCCATATGATAATACCTCCTTTAAGAAGCACCGCACCTGTGAAGTCCAAAGTGCAAGATTACAAATCGGCCACACTGTTTTCTCTCATTCTCATTTAATATTAAAATATTCAGTTCCATTTTGCTCTCTACGTCAACATTCTCCGCTTACAATCGACCGTATTTTGCCATTTTCCCCAAAAATCTACGCTACAAGCATCAAAATACAAACCTACCTCTCTTTAAATATCCATCCTTGAAGCTCTGATGATATGAAAGCAACTACCGATACATTAACGAACTAACAAAAAGAATGCGTATCAACTAATTAACTAACAAAGAGCCATTCACTATATGCAGGAGTACATAATTTTGTATTGAGCAAAAATATTGACGAGAAACTGCTTCTCGTTCTCAGTGTTTCAAAATTTCCACTTTTACTTCATTTTCTATTAGGAGACCCAACCAACATGGCTTGAAATTTTCATATAATTTCCACCATTCTAAAATCACTGAAGTTTTCAGAAGATGACTTTTGATAATTCTCCTCGTAAAAAATAAAGTATGGCAGGAAGTATACAACGCCGCAAACCGGTCGATATGATGTCACACATTTTACTCGGGATACATCGCCGACACCCCCCCCCCCCACCATTTTGAGCCCACCTGAAAGTGAGTAATGGAGAGTCGCAGGATTCTATCGCGATTTCAGATGCTCATATAATTGTAAGCAACTCATCACGTAGATATCTAGCTTTCATTAGGTTTTTTTTTTTAAAAAAAAAAAAATAAGTGCTGTGCAGTCCTACTAATTTTCATTACATTCTATTTTGCTTCCTAACACATTCCGGTTTTGCCTCAAAACTTTTGTTCTTCATTTCAACAGAAAACACCAAATGTATCACGCCGTGTCCACGATCATCGCAATGAGGTAAATACATCAAGTAGCAGTCTAATTGATGAATTGATTAGTCCGCTCGGGTTCGAAAGATAGCTATGCTTATGTATTGACACCATTTTCTGATCTGTAGTTTTCGCCGTTCACTTTTCTTTGTCAGTCTTTCACGTGGCGTCTCTGTACAATCATTGTGCACTGGGTATATTTACTAGTAGAAAACTAAGTAGTCATGACATAATGATACATTACTTATGGCACCATTACGTAGCGTATCGTATAATGGTTAAGTCGGATAACGCAGTCTCCATGCTTACCACGATGAACGTGTCTTGGGACCGATGTTCCGTTGAGTTTCGACTTGAAAATTCACTTATTTCAGATTACGTCCGAAAAAAGGTGGAATTTTTAGGTAGAATCGGCAATATTGTCATTCTTCATTTTTGACAGTCTAATATAGCCTATATGTAACAGCAGGAAAAAAATACAGGGACAATTTTTACCAAAAAAAAAAAAAAAAAAAAAAAAAAAAAAAAAAAACATCATTTTTATGAGTAAGTAACTCTCTAGCCTCCAATAAAATGAAGTAATTAAACCGGAGCATTCATATTTTTCAGGTATCATACATATGTGGTTAGCAATATAATTGAATCCACCTATACATTAGACAGTTAACTTTTTTTACTAGCATTTAAATAGATAAAACGTAGCGTTGACAACTTATAAAAAATTGCCACTGCGGTGACATTAGGTCCGAAACAATCTGTGAATGGAAAATGCGAATAAAATCTGTTATACCATAGTTACGTAGGAGCACTTGAATTAGATAGCACATGCACCGTGGATTAGATACACTTGATTACATACAATCTTGACCATTAATGATTCGAGTATTACGATTGGTATATTGTCAAATAAATCCGAAAACTGATAAGCCTTGACCCTTAAATGTCAAAACTGGGTCAACTTGACCCGAAGCTTGCTAAACACACGTGCCTCATGGGTTGTATGGGACCGGAGCATACGAGCTTTCGATATAGGTCTAAATACATCGTAATAGAGAATCAGACATTAAAGCGGACTTTATAAACGATCAAAATCAATGTATTTTAATACGGGTCAATTTTGTCCGACTTGGAACCTTAGTGTAACACAAGTCTTAGGCTTCTAAGGGTTATAATAATGATAAGTTTTTCTCTCAAGACCATTCTTCGGAAATCTTTTCGCATCGTTTTACAATCCCCCTGAATTAATCATACCGCACCATTGCTCATCAAATTCCCATTTGCGTTTTTGAGCAACCTTCTCCTGGTGGGCCAAAAACCTAGCGAAATGTGTTATCACTTATCACCAATACCCGTTCAAAAGGCGTTCCCACTAAATTCCATAATTTTTTATCTCTCATAGTATAATTATTATGCCGTCATAGGTCCTTTTTGCTGGAATGGGGTGCTTATGTGTACTTTCTGAAAGAAATTCAACATTTTTTTTCAATTTTTTACCGTTCTGGCTGAAATACAACTTGGTCACCATAATAAGTCTCAACACCTGCTCGGATATTTTCTTGTGCGTTATTTTCTACTCAAACCGGATACCCATCCATCGCAAGCGATAGCTTCTGGCTATTGTGGTAGCTATCAGTACAGACATTTCCCAATAAATTTGTGTGAACCAGTAGCTTCAAATATCCCACGTAGTTTTTGAGGACCGCAAAACCTTATTCGCAAGGAAAATAAAGAAGTTTTCATCCTAACTACGTTCAATTAGATGATCGCGTTACCAAATCGAATTCGAATTTACAATAAGTGCAATTCTTAGCGTAAACCCCATGTTAAAAGTATATTTATTAGGCAATGCACGATACCCATGTACTTTTGTTTGTGTGTAGAAATAAGTCTATAAGCAATACTTCACTTAATGTAACGTTTGTGAAAAAAAAGTTTGAAACAAAGGAATGCCATCTACATTAATAAATATGAGCCTCTAATTTTGAGATGATGGGCCATTATGGATCGTTTGCAAGGTGCAAACATTTTTGGGGTAACAACTGATTCCATTGGAACTTTTCAGATAGAATCTTATCATAGAATTGCAGGCTCGGGGTGCATATTGGTCGGAAATGGTGTGGACCGCCGTGGATGCAGCACCGAGATATTACGAATTTTCAACGATAAAATCGCGCACTGCAGCAAACGCGTAATGCTTGGAGTATTCCTGCACTCTTGTAGGCGCTAATATGCGTGTCGCGCCGACCAGCGACCGCACTGTGTTTTGCGCAATGCGTGAAGTATTCCTGCACTCTTGTAGGCACTAATATGCCTTTTGAACCGACCGGAGGCTATGCTTGGCAAGATTTGAAACGATGATGCAGCATTAGAGTTGAAAGAAACCGTGGGAACAACAGGTCAATTGGAATTGCCAAGTGTAGATAACATTCCTTTGTTTGACTTAATGATATTTTCTTTGTATCATACTTCTTCTCTGGTTTTCTCTCTGACCCATCTCCTTTCTCTTCATGTGCTATCTGTATGTGCCTGATGAAGAATCCTAGTATTCGTATTTTATTATCTCAATTCAACCTATGTATATCCACTAAAACCGCTCACATGTCCTCCATTTTATTGGAAATTTTATTCTTTACTGAATTTGGAAAAAAAGAAAACTAGTAACTCTTTAGAATGAGACAATCAATACCATCTCATAAAGAAGGAAAATAGAATCATGGGAAATTAAATTTAAAATATAAATTTTCATCACACATTTTTGAAGAAGAATAATTATACTTAATTTTTTTGAGTTTACTCTGGATTTACCCCGCAACTATGTACGAAACTCACAAATCAATCATCGAAGAGAGATCAAGAACATTTTTAAAAATTAAAATTTCAGTGGTTCTCTATTTAAAAAAACATAGTATGACATTAAGAATGGAATGTCACACACCGAGATACGTAGTTTGGAAGTTTCACCATTAATGTTTGACTCTACAAAAATCAAACATTAGCTGTCATCCACCGCGGTAGTGACACCCTTGGTTTCTTCCACCTCACTTTCATTCAAGTTTCACGTCGAGTGCCCAGTGAAGATATGCGTCTCCCTGACACACAAAAGCAAGTTGGGAGAAACCAAGGGTGTCACTACCGCGGTGGACGAAGTTATAGACGGAATTTTTCAAAATGCGTTATCTCGGTTAATATTGAGCGTAGAAATTTGCTGCCTGGATGGATCTTATTATTTTTAGCAGATCTACAAGAATCACACATAAAAACACGACTCTGTATCCAGCGCAATTGACCCATTACCTTATATTTGATGGTGTTCGTTACAGAATGGTATTTGGATTCAAATTCGTCCGCAAGTATGCTGAAATGAACGGACAAGAGTTTTTACTGTTACCGTGTATCTCTCTCTTTTTATTCTGTCATCTATCGCTATCATGTCGTGTGTACGCATTTATTTGTCGCATTGTTGCATCTCATTTTGTACGAAAATTCCCTGTGTATCAGTGTCGTGGCAAGTATCATCTTCATTTTTATACTTCCGATATATAATTTTTCTCATTGAATTCTTCTAATTGAAATTTCAGGAACGCGAAGAGAAGAGACTTTATTGATTGAAGTCTACTTTTCAAAAAAAAAACAAATAACGCCATAATGATCAAAAAGGGTGTTAAGTGGGGGAGCTTTAAATGAAGGTTCACTTTCAGTGTTTGTTAAATTTCAACATGCAGTTATAAAACTCAATTTAAACGTGAAATTTGCCCTTTAAATAGAGTTACATTGGTGTAAGGAGAGATGTCATCTAGAGAGCCGAGTCATAAATTTGATTTATATTACTCAAACGCTTTTGATTTTTTAGTTGAACGAGAAACTAAGAATATCCTCGGTAAATCGTCGTGCATGGACTAGGCAATGGCCAGCTCAAGTATTTTAATTATGTTCGTGTAATGTTTCCCTTATATTCTCTCCCTAAAAAATGATAACGATGCAGATGGGCTCTCTGTACAGTATCTGCACAATGGCAAACCTTTGAAAAATCTACGGGAAGAAAGTGGGTGAAAGACGTGGAGGCAAGGTAACATCGGGTTCAATATTTTTATGTGTTCTTTGATCGATAATTTGCATATACATTTAAGCTCTGCTATGTCGTGAGCAGGCTTTTTAAAACCAGTTTCTTTTTTTCGTGTTTGTCAGGAAGAGCGCCAGGGATGGCGGAGGCGGAATTAACAGCCTTGAAACAGCTCATCAGTTCCAAGAATATACGTATAAGAAAATTACACCCTGCGATGTCTGTTCGCAAGTATTGCGAGGTAAGTTTTCCACGCATATTCACTATTATCGATGAAATTGATACCATTCTAATAATAACTCTGAAGATCCGGGACTTTGGTTCGTTAAACCAAAACAAAAGAGGTTCACCGACTAAGGGCTCAGCCCTCTGAACCAAAAAACGCATCGACGGTGTAAGTCGGCCATCACATAACTCGTTTGCGGTGTCTCAAAATCTCCACCTCTATGTTATTTTTTTAAAGAAGAACAAATTGACATCATTCCTTGAAGTTTTTGCTGAATTCTCTTCGCACGGAGAATAAAAATCAAGACAGTTTTAAAGAATTGCCGTTCAGTAGTTTTCTGTTGAAAAAACAAAGTATGATAGGAGGTCTGCGACTTCGCAAACCGAGTTATGTGATTTCCGACCTACACCGTCGACACACCGTCCTTTAGGTTTCTTTTCAGAGACGGATCCAGCAATTTGGCAACACCGGATTTGGAACACCTCCATTTAAACCTATGCGAAATAATCGATTCTTTCCGGGGCACCTGACTCCTCCAAGAATCGATACATTTCCATAGGTTTAAATTGAGAAAAGACAATGTTGCCAATTTGCTGGATCCGCCAATGATATCTTGCGCCTTGAGAACAATGGGCCCAGAAGCGATGCGTAATTTGCGATCTATCGGTTGATCTGCCATTTAAACCCATGGAAAAGGATCGATGAACAAGGTGTTCGCAATGAACACCTTAATCATACATTTTTTACCGTAGCCTCAAATGGGAGAAATATCGATAATTGATCATTCACGCCTCGCCACTGAATGGACCAAATGAACAAGATACTAATTTAAGCATTCTGATTTTTTTTTCCAACCAAAATATTACGTGAAACACGATTCGCGCAACGAGAATTACTGAAAGCAACTCCTAACAAAGATATTAACTTTTTAAGTTTACATTGATTATATACGGGAAATCCGAATGCTCCACTCACAAAATAAACAATTGTCTACTTGAATCAAATCGCGCACTGAAAAGTTTTGAAGGGCAAATTAATGGGGCAATGTTCTTTCCAATTTTGTTTTTCTATGTGTTGACAATGTACAACAGCTGAGTCAAAGCGCTGAGATTGGGGTTCTGGTGTTGTCGAGGTTAAAGTCTGGTGCGCGGTTTGCCTCTCTTTTTATGAGCGGGAGGTTTGAATTTATGCGTCAAGAAACATTAAGTACCTTAATAAGGCGTAAGTTTCAGCAATTTTCGTGTACATAAATCGTGTTTTGCGTGAAATTTTGGTCAAAAAACATGGATCTGAATGCTTAAATTCGTAAGTACCTTGTTTACTGCTCTATTCATTGCCAGTCCTTAGTCCTTATCATGCTGAGATTTTGTATTTTGACTTGCCTTCTTCCCTCCGAAAAAAATGTATTATGTTTTTTGTTAATTTTCTGTTTAGGACATACGCGGCAAGGGCTCAAGTGTAGACTGTGTAAAATGAACGTCCATTTAGACTGCCAAGATAAAGCTACTTCTAAGTGTAATTCTAAGTCTCGACTCCTGAGGAGACAGAAATCAACGTCAGAAATTGAGACAAGGATATCTGCAACCCAGGAAGAAGAAGGTATGCAAAAGTTCACGTATATTCTCGTACTGACCTCTATTTTCACATATTTTACATTATATCTAATTCTCTTCTGCTCAACCCAAATATATAATACAGGTATCATCATCGTAGAATAATCGCATTTTCAAATATTGTCAAAAAGAATACCAAATTTATTTTACTTTTCACAAGCTAAAAATCATTTTTTAAAAAAAAATGATTAAAGGCTCTTGACCTTTTTTTCTTTATATTCCGCATTAATTTCCGTCAATCTACGCTCCATCTAGGAAGAAGCATATCTAACGCAAGCGGGAACGCAAGTCCAAGTAACTTAAGCATATCCAGGAAAAATTTAGACCAAAAGATTTACTCTAGGCAGAACAGTCCCAAGCTACTAGGTGTTGTTCCAGGTGATGAAAAAATGATCTACAAAAACATAAAACAACCAAACTTACTGCTTATCTAAAATATTAACAATTTTCTCACTTGAATTTTTTATGCGTTAATACTCTCAGCTGTGGTTAGTCTGCTTAACGCTATCTTCTCTGGAACCAATCCACTTCATTACTTGAGTTCATCCTAGTAAAATATCTTATCTAATTTTCTCACGCAAAACTTCATCCCTTTTATTTATTTCAACTGCAGCTGGCTTACAGGACCAATGTCATGACAGGAAACTCAAAAAAGAAGTTTTTTTTTTTTTCAATTTACTCAAATCTTTCGAGCATCTTTCAATTTCAATATAATCACAAATTAATTAATCGACTTTTTTCAAAGTATACTATCTCAAATTTTATCTTTCCAAATGAGTTCATGAATCACACCAAAAACGGATTTTTCCAGTCGTTTGGTATATTCAGTCCCAAAGTCGGTAGTTCAGTCGGTTCTTTGATGCTACATCAAAGATCAATCCTAAAAACTGCATATAACCGTTGATTACAGGGTCTGAATCAGAAATATTGAGATGAATGAAGAAATGAGCTAAACCATAATTTGGTGTGGTTGACACATTTTGTATCAATATGAATGAATGTGCAACACCAGGTATAATGGCTGCATTACGTTTCTGCTTTACTTTTTTGTCGAAAACGCTCCTGCATAACCATTGCAAATATATATCGCCCGCAAATGATTTATGACAAGTTCCTCTCATGTCGTGCCATTTGGCATCGCTGCAGCAGTGACACCAAGCCCCCTGGAATGCCGAGGTTTGTAATGTAGCAATGTCATAAGTGAACAACTGTTTCAGCCAGGCGCTCTATAGGAAACCAGAGTGCCTGCAATTTTGTGTGCAAGCAACACGCACATCCCTAAAACACGAATAGTTGCATCCGAGAGTTGTTATTGAAAAAACGAAGGCGCCTTCAATTATTCCCACTTACGATGAATGACGATGTTATCATCGCATTTTCCTTAACACATAGTGACATTGTTGGTTTTTGACCAACCAGGCACCGTAAAATTTTACTATGCTATTATGGAGACAGGATTTTGAAAGCAAAAGCATTCGATCATCTTAGGTAGAAAAGTGTCTGTTTGTGAGTAATGTCACATGTCTCATTTGATTCTACATAGATCTGATTTTCATCGACGGAAATACCCATTTTGCCTTCTTTTACGTCGTATGGAGGTATGCTTATTTTATATCGAGTTAAACTTTTACCATTCATGTCATTTGTCTGCGGCAGTGATGTCAAATGGTGTAAATCGGGGGAAAATATTGTGCGGGTGTTTATTCCAAAAAATTATGAGGACACATTTTCGTTGGAGCTTGTACGCAGAAACGTTCTACACCAAGTAATACAATGGGCGATGTTTTAGATCACCGTTATCTTTGAATAATTCTTGGGAAAAATGTAGTGATAAGATACATACGAACTGCATCCCGCGCATTTAGTAGGGTGGCTTTTGAAAGACAGTGCTTACTAAAGAATAAGCACATGTGCACTTTGGTGAGAAAATTTCGAGGGATAAAAAAATTATAAATTATTCTGTATAAGAATGTACTTTTCAAAAAGGAGGGTGTATTTTAAAGTTTAAATTGATCCATTTTTCTTCTTTTACTAAAAATCACCCACAATTATTTTTATGCAAATCACTTATTTTTGAAAAATTATTTTCCGCCCCCGATTTTCTATTATTGTTAAGGCTGCTATCGATCCCTCGTCCCACAAGGAACAACAAATTACAATCAATGCTAAGGCGTCTCTTTCCAATCTCAATGTGTGATTTGTACAATAACACGATCAATGCTCTTTAATGTATTTTTCATACGTGATTATAATTTCAAAGAGCTCAATTTTGTAAAAGACACACTTCAGCTTTCTCCAAAACACCCCGTGTATATATGAACCCGTGTTTGGTCTTAGTGTTTTTGAATGAAATATGCGGTTGAAATGTGTTTGCCTCTTGTGTCGTTCTCCTCGGTGCATGTTCTTGGAGAATGATTTTGTCGTCCCCTTTCACTTACCTCCATGTTTTGTGAATGTTTTATTTTTTCCAAGCGTCATCACTTTACCTCATTTCAAGCTCACTCACTGCCAAACTCCTATAAAACTCACGTCATTTTGTTTGCTTTTCTTTATATATTTACGGAAAAAAATGTTTTTTTCCCTCAGGTTATTTGTTCTTTTAATGTTATTTTTGTTCACCGTAAACTTGTAAATAAGCTGTCAATGTAAATACTTACGTAACGGATTGAATTAAACAAATTAGTGATGTAGAATGCAATCGACTGTGATGACCATAATTTCCTTCTGCGTGCGTGTTGGAAGTTAAGGCAAATAAATGCTAATTTTTTTCACAATATCTTTACTATATCTATCACGTCTTTGCCTCGCTGATACTCTTTTCGCGTTATTCCTAATTCTCGAAAGTTAAGGAGGCAAAATAATTGAAGTTATACTTTTTACAAGGTGCTTAATTTTGTTGCAATGATAATGTTAGTATCGATTTTGAATGCGTAAGAGATTACTCAGACCATAAATCTGAATATTCTGCCCATATTTTTTCGTAATTCATCTACAATTAGCCTTTCATAGCTCCATGACTTTAATTTTCTTCCTTAAGTTTAATTTTTCACGGCCAGTCAATGGCTACAATCATATTCAAATACAAATTTACCATCAACTTACCACCAGTAAGAAGTTTTTGTATCATAATAATTTGTTCTTATTTGCATCTGAATGATGGAAAACCATTCATACTTAGTCCAGCATTACTTCTGCACAATGAGCGCGTACAGAAATTGAGAAGTAAAAATATGATTTGTATTACATTTATTTTGATTTATGGTTTATGATGAATTACTTAGTTATGAGAAAAGTTAAGCCTTTATGAAGATAAAGGCCATTTCATACTTAGCCATAATTGGATTACATTTTCCAATAAGGAACCACTATTTCTGGCTATCCCATGAAAGCACATATCTGCATAGGGAAACCAACGGCATGTATGTTGTTTCTAAAATGGGCCAGAAATAGTGGCTCCTTATTGCAAAATTTAGTCCAATTAGTCTCCCTTTGAACGCAAAACGTGGTTTAGTTTAAAGTGATAGTTAGGAAACATAAACAAATCACTTTATTTGTGTTACATTTAAAGAAATAGGCCATTAAAATCCAATGTCTGAAAGTCAAGTGAAAAAAAATTAAGTTGTCCTCTCATATTAAAGTGTTTTTCAGTTTTTGTTTTTTAGTTTCCCTCCAATTTAAACCCGTCTCTAATGTTTTTTTCATATTTGAAACGTTTATGAAAATAGTTTAAAACGTAACAGATCGTGAATGGAAGAATATGGACATGAAGAGGAAAAATTTAACCAATTAAAAAATATTAATATGACAAAAGAATGCACTTGATTTTTCCTTTTGAAACAAACGTCTCTGAGATGATAAGAACCAAGAGGCGAGTATAAGATAGCAAAATGGGGAACAGAACTCACTTTTAGAATCGGAATTATATTATTTGAATCAAATTTAAAATCCATTTCCTTGATTCGTATTATACTCTTATTCACCTTCTCCATTTATTAATTCATCGGTAAAAGCCTCTGAACTTTCTAAAAGGTCTCTCCAGAGTTAACTCATAATATCCTCTTTCCACCACTCTCTATTATTTTACTTCAACACTATTCACACGTCACACCACTATCTCCTTATATATTTTCTCGAAAACCCTGGACACGACTTTCTTTGACCATTTGCTTCGTCTCTAGTTTTCTATTCTCACTTTCGTGTGATATTTTTAACAATACACTTTCTTTTGAACTTGACACTTTTTAAATGCTAAACTGGTTTTTGAGGGCTGTGCGGATCATACTTTTTTATGAGGGTGCATTTTTTTAAAAGACTTGTAAACGTTTGAGGTTTCTGAGCTCCATGACCTGAACGGAAAAAATGCTGCGTTGCTTTTGCGGCATTTTCATCCCCTCACTCACATCACATCATTTTAATATATCGTTACACTTATTTACAATTACATCTTTCAGCAGGCTCTCAAATCCAGCGCAGCAAAGAATGAATAACTTCTATCAAACACAATATTTTTCTCATCTCTCTCTTCCGATTTCACAAATTCTAAAACACTAACCAAACATGCTGGTTTCATTTGATTAACCCGATGATTTCACTGTATAAGCTTGTACTCTGAGATTTTCACCTTTTAAACACAAAAAAGCAATCATATTTTAGATGCTAATTAAAAAAAAAAAAAAAAAAAAAAAAAAAAAAAAAAAAAAAAAAATGAGAAACAACAATAAAAATTACGATATGAAGAATTTTATGGAGAACGCACGGCTGTTATTTGAGCCAGTATAGCGGAAGTAGTTTTGATTCCTTTACTGGATGTGCCCAAGAAAACTCAATTGATTAAATTACAGTCTAACATTGATCTTGCATTCTCAATCACTTTTTTCTAGGATTTAAAAAGAAAGTTTTGTGATTTACACATACACAAAACTTTACAACATACAAATGCAACAATATTTGTGATCTGTTTGAGAGCTAAAATTCACACAAGCGGTACAAAAAATAGAAGACTCGCAGCCTCGGTTATTAGCGAGAAAATTTTGTTTTGAGGTCTAAAAAGCCCTGTCAAGAATCGAGCTTTCAGCGCAAAACTCATCATCATCAAAGTCCACACATACTCCCCCAAAAATTTAGGAGACTTGCACAAAATAGAAGACAAATATTAATGCTGACGATCCAATGAACGAAATTTTCGCAATTTCTGATCAATTTTAAAGTACGATATTCATATCGGTAAACAACATATCTGATTCACATACACAGAGTATCGAATTTAGAACTTTAAGCACTCTTTAAGGTGACTCATGATGCGTCCAAGGAAAACACATATGTGCCTTTTACAAAATACATGGAAATATCAATCAAATGTTTCACTCTCAAAGATCGAAGACCCCCTGAAACCTCCCTTCAGCTTGAAAGTCTGACCTTTTTATATGAGGAGCAAACATCTTAGAGTTGAGGAAATTCAGCCAGGGTGGGCTTCAAAACGGCCTTTATCAAAACCCCCTCTTCAGTGTTAAGATGGGTCTTGCTAATTCCTACTAATCTATAAAGTTTGAGCCATCAGAACATGATTCTGTGTCCAGCAGAACAGACCCATTGTATGCTGACAACTGCGGGCTGATTGTTGAAATGGATATAGACAAAGCTACAGACAAAGGAGACAACGGGGATATGGAGGGATTCTATTGGTGGAGGCTGGTGGATGTTACGGACAACGGAGGTAGGTAATAGACTGACTAACGACAACCCACGAGGCACCCTATAGTCAGTCCATCATTAACCCTCTTAGTTTATAACAACCACTCGCCTTTCAACTAATAGGATCGCTCTGTACGCTATATCTTTTTTGTGTATAGCGCTGTCTATCAATTTCAACAATCAGCCCGCACCGTAAGAAAAGCGATGGACAAAGAGGACATAAGGAGTATGAGGCGATCATTTTGGCTGAAATGGGTGGTTCTTATCGACTAAGGGGGTAAATGATGGACTAACCATCGGGTCTCTTGTGAGTTGCCGTTAGTCAGTCTATTACTTATGTCCTTTCTCCATTGCAACCACCCACTTCCTCCCTGCATATCCTTTTTGTCCTCCTTGTCTATCATCTCTGTCTATCAATTTAAGCAATCGGCCCGCTGGCCAACTGATGGAGGTTAGGTTTTCCTTGGGCGCATAGCTCGTTGCGCTTTCCGAGTGTGAGCCCTGACCCAAAGCGGGGGGCGGGGGGTGGCATCAGGGTTGTGATTGGCATTGAGGTTGACGTTGACGTTGACGTTGCGATTCCCTGATGACGTAGAGCGGGCGACGGAGTGTCCGGACGCAAGTGGCGGCGGCGGCGGCGGGCCGGCCAGCGGCCAAGTGGACGACGTCTACCAAGTGCTGAAGCAGGCGGGGGAGATCTCAGGGACGGGCGCAGGGGCCGGCCTGGGGCCCGGGCGCCCCATCCCCCCCAGGAGCCCGGCCACCGGCGGCGACCTCTCCTCCCTGAAACGGACCAACCAACCCCCCTCCCTCCTCCGTGGACCCTCCTCGCTCAGTGTCGTCGCTCCGCCCATCGCCTCCAGCTCAGGTTTGCACCTTCTCATTTCCACTAACCCCACCCCACTTCGCTCTTTCTCCACTGTTAAAAACAATAATATTCTCCTCTTATAAAAGTCGAGTCGATTGACTCGTAGCTCAATTCTGATGGAACTCTAACTGATAAGCACGAGTTCTTTTGAATAGCTTTTTACCCTTTGCAATGCTGCCAAGATTGTGCCTGATGCATTGGTTTTGAGGAGCAAATAATGAGTTTTTTCCTTGAATTTCTGCATTATTGCATCTATTGAATATGATTTGACAAAAAATTCTAGCCTAGCTGCATGAAGTGCATCAGTATGTTAGATTAATTTAATAAATTTTGTAATTTCATGCATCTAGGCTAAAATTGTTTGTCTAGACATTTGACGAATTAGACAATTTTTTTGTCTAAACATTTTAGCCTAGCTGCATGAAATGCATCAATAAGTTAGATTAATTCAATCGATTTTGTAATGTCATGCATCTGGGCTAAAAAATTTTGTCTTGTCAAATTATGAGTCATGGCTGTGATTTTTTCGACAAATATTTTCCTTGATTTTTTGCAATTTCTGTAAAAAAAAAATGATATACACATTTGTATTTGATTCGATGTAAAACCCAGACGAAAATGGTCTATCTTGGCAGTAGAACTTAATAGGACCGTGTGTGATTATTCAAAAGAACTCCTCAATGAAGAATTTGCAGTGGTCTGAAATTTGATAAATTTTATTTATTGATGGAAATCGCTGTACGAACTGGGCATGAGAGTATTATTGGATTCTAAACTAAACAATTATCGTAGGAGCTATTGCAGAATGGCTTAATCTGCTAAAACGCGTATATTTAAATTGAAACCGCCGCCAAATGAAGTCATAAGGCGGTAAATGTTTCAATTTTAAATATATTTTTTTCCATTTCCCGTATCAGAAAAAAATTGTTTAAAAATACCAGAAAATAAGCTCATAAGCTCATGCAGCACTTTCGCATGAAGCTTTAACATTTTTTCGTTTAAACTCTTAATTGAAGTGATTTATAGCCCATCATAGAGTCACTTCTGAGTCAGTTAAAATCGTTTTAAGCACGTTAGATTTTAATGAATTGAATTGAAGCATGATAAGACTCGAGAGTCATAGTTAACTCCATCTCATCTTTAAAGAGGGAACAGAATATTAATATTTTTAACAATGTGTGTGTCTCTCTCTATCTCTCTCTCTCTCTCTCTGTCTTTCAGTTGTTCTCGAGTTCCCTTCCTCCCTCTGTCTTACTCTCTCTCCATTTCTGCTCTCTGTCTTGTCCGTTTGTTTTGCACTTACAGCGTTCGTTTAGATAGATCCGTTTCGTTTGTCGTCGTCGCACTGAAAAAAGTTGGATTTGCTATCGCACGCTAAGAGGAGGAAATAGAGATGAAGAATGATAATGAGGACGAAAAGAAATAAAAATCTCTGGTGTTGAAAAGTTATTAATTCGGTTTTCGTTGACTAATGGCACCATCGTCAAGAAAAAACACCATAAATACTGAATCTGGAATATGTGGGCTTTAGGATATGGTCTAGATGGTTAACACTGCAACCATGGAACGGGGATTTAGGAATGGATCAAATGGACGTTTTTATGTCAAACGGAACTATGCGCATTAAGACATGAGCCCTGAGACCCATAAGAATACACGCATAATAGGACTCACGTCATAATGCACATAGTTCCGTTTGATAGAAATACGTCGATATATCGGAAGAAGTGTGTGGTGTAGCTACTAAATTAGTCTATACCGATCTGCCTATTTGGCTCGTCAAATCTAACTTGGGGAATGGTGTAAGTACTTCAATGCCGAGAAAGTTCCAAAAATATTTTTTTTTCTAACACGAGAAATAAATCTCACTTTTTTCAGTGCTCAGCGCGAACTCATATCGGCTCGATGGTTCAACTCTAAAGCCACGAACCTCCCTTGAAAAGTTTCAAAAAATGCGGACACTTTTCATTCGTTAGAATGAAATAAATCATCATTACGGTTCAAAATTTTCACGAGCTGGGCATGTAACGGGAAAGAAGAATTTTAAAAAAAATAAAGCCATTAAGGTTTTTTTAACCCCCTCCAGTCCGCCCTTCAAGAATGAAATGCATGAATGAGAAATGTAAAATGAAGCATACTCAGTATGTGAAACGTCGACACTGAGGTACATGGTTTTAAAGTTTATCCATCCAATGTTTGAGTTCGGAATTGAAAAAAATCTAGATTTAACCAACCAATTTCTAACTTACTTTTAGGCCCGACATACTTGGTAGACTCCTAATTTTGCGTTAGAGTTAACTGAAATTGTTATAAATTGTGATAGACATGATTGATTCGCCCCGCATCATTTTGGTGGCGCAAGTGTAAACCAGGAATACAACAGAATCCACCGTATCGCCGGGCCTCATGCAGATTTGGAATCTATCATGAAGTTTGATTTTCATATTTACCGCAGAGGTGACCAGATATGATTTTATAAAAATGATGGAAACTGCAAAGTGACGGTACGACGCTGTATTGTCACTTTTTCCCAAAAACCACTCAAAAATCTTAAAATGTATAAACTTGTCCAATTTTACTGGAGTGTCGCTTTACTCTGTTTGTCCGTATAGTAATCGTTCGTGAAGTGTTTTCATGTTCGACATGATGTTCTTGCTTATCGTGATGTTTTTATGTTGTTTGATTCAACGTTTACGAAGTGGCACCAAGTTGTCTTCATACTTACACTGAAAGTTTCACCAAAGTATTTTTGCAGGATTCAAAACCGAAAATCTGTTTGACTTTTAAAAAAAATACTTGCAAGGAACTTCGACGACATGACCCTCAGTTGTTCCTCGGCTTATTAAATAATTTTAAATCAATTTGGTTTTTTTTTCTTACTCTATGAAAGGTAATAAACTTCGATAAACTGTTTCTATGACGTATAAGCACACTTTCTACATCTACATGCTATACACACAAAAAATCTACATCGGTAAAACAAATAACCCTATAGATCTTTGTCTTCTTGTGCGCATTTTCCGGGGGAAAAACTCTCGCCAACGAACATACAAATTCTAGTGAGGCGGGAAAGAGTTTCGGAGGCAAAGTTTCCCGTAGCTTGTTTGAAAGTTGGAACTGCTGCTCATTTTGTGAATGTTGGCATTGAAACTTCGAGTTGAAGCTACTTCAAAGGCCAATTAATCGATTTCTCCGGAGTTTGTTATTAACTGATAATTACCATACTCTTCAGGTTGTCAGGAAGGGCTCAGCGCCGTCAAGTTATAAAATTCTGCCGGCCCTTTCCACGGGTCAACTCCTTCGTTAATTTGTGTTTATTCATTTATTCATACATTTTTTTCTCGCTGTCGGATTATTTTTGATGGAACATTTTTCATGAAATTATCAGTGATTTCAATTTCATCACAAAAAGAGGACGCATTCGCAAACTGATAATACTGTGAAGTTAATTATTTCCTCAAATTGACCAGTAAGGAGAAGTATTATATTTATCGTGAGATTCGGAAGATCACCATTTTTTTCCGCAGTTCTACTTCTATCACATGAGAGGATGACCTCTTTTTTAGAATGTTTTGCTTTTTTCTGATACTTGACGACGTCTTGTTATTTCCGAATATTAGAGGTCTCTGAAAAGGTTTACATGGTTTCCTTGATATTTTTAATCGCTTAAATAATTTTCCGGAATTTTGATTTTTTCCGGAACTGTCCCTTCGAAAGCTGACATTACACACGGTAAAATTGACTTTAGCTCCAATTTTTTCTCACAAATTTTTAAGCAAATTGGGATTTATTCACTACTTTTGGCTCCTTTAAGTTAGGGCCTCCGCTAAAATGAGTCTCTAAAAATATTGCGGAACTTTGAATATTCCACGAAGCCTCTTTCAGAATTTTGGAATTATTTTAGACATTTTTAAACTCAAAAATATTGGACTCGCTCCCTCCCTCAACCCCCGCGATTCATTTTTCGTTCTTTTCTTTCCAATTTGGATTCCGTAAGTTCAGACCACAGAGGATTTTAAGGGTGAATATTCGCGTAATCTGAGTGGCATCGAGATGAGAGACAAGAGTGCATTAGTTCAATAGAATTATTCTCTCTTCATCCTCAGATATCTCCGGGTAGCCTATAGTACCTATATAGGGACGGTGCGGACTTGTCGAAATGTGGAGCTTGTGGGGCTCAAAATGCAGAAAACCTTTGAAAACGAAAAATGTCTTTGCCAATCTTTAGATTCTAATATAAAACCAGCATGGCCAAAAATGTTCATAATGGAGCGTTCTTCCGCAAATATGTGTAAATTTATGAGGACCAAGTTAAATACATGCTCAACCAACGATTGGTTGGATCGATTAGATTACATTCTGCAATAAGGAACCACAATCTCTGCCTCTTCCATGAAAGAACCTTTCTATGTAGAGAAACCAAGGGCATACTCGTATATGTCCTCTAAAATGAGCCAGGAATAGTGATTCTTCATTGCAAAATATGGTTCAATTTTAATAATGAATCACTTTGGATAATTTGAATTCATAGATTGGCTACCCCTTTGGGCCCTGTAAGCTCCATCATCTAACCTCAAAATTACCGACATGCTCATACTCTCCCTATAAAGGCGATCTTGAGTAGCCTATACGATTTTGGTCGATTTAAGCGGGGAAAAAGTAACTCAAAGTGACTCAAATTCACCATAAACACGGAAATTTTTAATTGGGCACCAGGATTTTGTCTTCCTATTTTCCTTACGTCTCTCAATTTATTTGGTAACAAATAAATGCCCCACCGGGGGAACTTTGGCAACATCGGAAAGTTCATACGGCGCCGTCGCTGATGCCCGGCGGACACGTAGGAAACCGAGCGGCAAGCCCCGTGAAATATGTCGCGCGCACGAGGCCCGCTAATTAGAGAACACGGGCGAAAAACAAACTTCATTCCTGAGAGGTAGACAAGCGTTGTCTGAATATAAAGCAGCTCGACCCTCCGCTTCCTCCGGGAGCAGCCCCCG